CATCAACACATATGAATCTCTAACTTCAAGGCGAGGACTTGAACTTACAGCAGTTTGCATATGAGGCAAAACATTGGAGGGACCGGACGAATAATAGCAACTAGGCTCAAAGAACACGAAAGAGCCTTATGACTAAGACAAGTAATTCTTCAATACGTTCAAATTTTAAGATACCAGGAGTTTACAGCATTTCATGCATATGCAGCAAAGTATGCATTGGATAGGTCGAATGAAATATCTACTTGAATGCGAAGTTTATTTGTCAGAATTTTACGGATTAATCCGGACCGAAGAAATATCAGTTTCGCGCGACCTGACAGCTGCCGTTGACATTTGGTTAAGCAGTATTAATGTCCTCCGGTTTACGTCACAAATATTACCCCGTCGCTCTATTTTTGGCGACAGTTAATAACAACGAAAAGATTATGAGTTTCACTTTCGAAGTCGCTTTTACGTTGATGAATTCTCGGTGCAAAATTAATTGCCCGTTTCGTTAAGGGAACATTTTTCAAGTTTTTTGGTTTTTTAAAAATTGTACAACCACTGTTAATAATTGATTTTTCTGCTTCTTAATAGGAGAGAGTCATGGAAGCGTAAAACCCTATTCTATAGGCGAAGGATTGTATAGTCCGGCACTCGCTAAATGGTAATGACTTGCCTGGCCTGTTGGAAAAGGAAGGCTCTTCATTTTCAATAAACTCAGCAATAAACCAATGAAACACCAAAAAGCCGTTATCAGTAAAGGAAGGTACCCTTATTTTAGTAATGTCGACACCCTAGAAATTTGGTTTTCAATTAGTTACAGTCATTATTTGTCATGGAAAATTTCGCAAAGACGCATTGGAGGAGAGTAACTAACCAGAAAGAAAGTGTCATTTCAATATGTGTTTTGCAAGTATATGAAGGTAAAATTTATGAAATGATTTTTATCTCCATCGAGCGTAAACGATCTTAGACCAATCAGCCTGTGCTTAGTAAGGTGTTGGAGAAGGTTGTTTATCGGCAAGTACTTTCGTATACAACTAGTTATAATATGATTCCATCAAACCAGTCAGGTTTTCGTTCAAAGCATAGCACGCATCTATTTTTGTATCATTTTTCCAGTCGTATTTAAATAATAGGCAGCAGTTCGTTAGGACTAATATCGCTATATCAGATTTGGGTTACGTTTCTTCGGGAGTGCCACAGGGTTCAATTCTTGGACCTCTGTTGTATCTCTTGATATGCTTAAGGAAGTCAAATTTTCTCAAATTCATTCATTTGCTGATGACGCCCAGCTGTTATACACATTTAACACAGTCTTTTTCAGCATAGTAAAGAAAACATTTTTAAGCTAAATACTAAAAAAACACAAATTATAATAAACTCTCTGAGGCATGTATCCTTTCTAAAGTTGTATATTTGAATCCAGCTCCGTTCTAGTATTTAGGAAGAAATTTAAGGTCCAGTTGTTGGTGTTGCAAAAGTGTCCGTCCTAAACAAATTAGTATTTTACCAATAATTAATATTTAGCCTCATATTATTATTATAGCTTGATGTTTCATTATTATTGTAATATTCGGTTAATGTTGAGTAGCTGAGATCAAAATCTTAAGCTAGACTTCGCTGTTTGAGATGTGTTATTATTATTATTATTATTATTATTATTATTATTATTATTATTATTATTATTATTATTATTATTATTATTATTAATCTTTATTATCCGACAATTGCACGTACAGTGCCTATGTAATTAAATTTAATTAAAACTGTCTGAAAAGACATCAGTCAACGTTTGCTATAACGATCACGTGAATCATTTCAAGAGAAATCAAAAGAAAGTTGTCGATTTGCCCACCAAACAATTGATGGAATGGAGACAAAAATATGTAAGTCAAATTCATCAATTTTGCATATAAAAACAAAGTTTAGATTATTTACTTGGTTCGACAACCATCACAATATAAAGAAAGGTGGGACTGAATTCTTTATCGAACTTCAACTGAATATTCATTTAAAAGTGGGGTGGAAATTTATGATAGTTTATGATCACAGCAATATGGCCAGAGCAAAGAGCCAGGTAATGTAGCACTGAAGTCACCACCACCGTGATATGGGGCGAATTAAAAAACTCCAAATACCCGCCCATTAAGACCAGATAGACCAAATATGAACGAATTAAACAGATGGTATGGGTATGTTTATTACGGAAAAGTTGTGATTTACAATACCTTCCTAAACTCGACACTTAAGTCAAACTCTATAAAGTTCCGATGGCAACAGGTGTATCAAACGACTTGTTGTATAATGCATAATTTGATCACGACCTTTTCATAAAGCGGGGAGCTGCAAACGTGACGAAGCAACAAAATGGTTTCTCTTCCTGCCGTAGGCGGGTGTATTATTCGCAGGAAATTTTCTTCCCGGACAGTAAACTAGTATGTTGAAATCTCGAGAGATTATTTTCTTACGGTTCACGCTGGGGTATAAACAATATAAAACTGATTAATACCAACTATGATGACGGGTTTTAATTTTAAAATTGGAAGGATTAAAAATCGTAATGGAGATGTTTAGTTGAATCCTGCGAATAATGTAGTAATATTAGACGTAATATCAGCACGGCACTTTATAAAAATTAAGGACTCTTACATTTTTAAATAAAACAGCATAAATCGTATTATAATTATGAAATTATTGTAACACAATATATTTCAATTCAGATAAGTTTGTAATTTACCTCATATTTAATTTTTACTTAATTCTATGCGAGGTTTGAGGTAACAGACGTAAAAATTCTGCTGCCCACGTGTTGGCAATATTAGGTACATAAGATGTAATATTCCAGATATACGAATTGAACCTATTGCTAACAATACAGAGTGTCCATTAATACGTGGACATTTTGAAAAAAATCGGCTATATACTACACACTTTTAAATCTGCTAGATTCAATAAAACTTCAGAATTCATATTCAAAGAAAAATTTTATAGTTAATTATCTAGCTTGGTTGAAAATACCTAATAAAAAAAATAGATAATTAAGGTTTATAGACTTACCAAACAGGGTAACAAATTTGAATGAACAAATCAATAAAACAAAAAGTTAACTAAAAATTCGGTCCATAATGTTTGGTTAAAACAGATCCTCTTCCTTTATTTATTCAAATTACCTTGTTGAGTAAGTCTACAAACTTAATTTATTTTTGTTATTAGGTATTTTCAATCAAGCTAGATAATTAACTCGTAAATGTGTCGTTAAATGTGAATTCTGAATTTTTATTCAACCTGTTAAAGTATAGAGCCGATTCTTTTCAAAATTTCCACGTATTAACGGACACCCTATATTATTAGCAATAGATTTTATTCGTATACCTTGAGTATTATTCTTTAAAAGAAGTAGTACCATGTCTTCGCTATTTAAAAAATAGCTAATATTGCGAACAAGTGGGCAGCTTTCAATTCAACAAGAATTTATAGGGGTGTTATCTTAAAACTCAAATATCTCAAAAAGTACGTAAAATTTAAATATAAAATAAATTACAACCTTACCTTTTTTTTTCTAAAATTGATATCAGAATAAAAATATATAATGAAATCTTGAGATTTTGTTAATTGAATTGGCCAAAACGGCAACACCTATTTCGGACAACCTGTATCAGCTGAGGCGCATCTGTCAAACTGATTGAGTACATCTCCTTAGTCTGTGGTTAAATTTTCGCTGCGATACCTGAATCAGTAGCGTCGCAACACAATTTTATATGGGGCAATCAAAACATGAAAAGAAAACACATTGCCTCGAAAATGACCTTTAGTCTAACCAAGGATTCGAAAAATGACGAAACATACAGGGTGTTCCATTTCAAATAACAAAATTATAATCTTTTAACTCTTCATCTTCTTCTTCTTAAAATTCCATCTTCTATCGAAGGTTGGAAACCATCATGGCAATGCGGACCCTGTTGACAGCCGCTCTAAACAGCTCGGTGCGGCTACATCCGAACCAATCCCTCAGATTTCTCAGCCAGGATATTTTTCACCTTCCAACACTTCTTTTCCCTCGGATTTTCCCTGAATAATTATGTAATCAAGTTTCCGTTTTTTGATTGTCACCAGAATTTCCGGTTCGCTTCGCATCCTTCTGTGCACCTCAGCATTTGAGACCCCACGATATCCTCAGGATCCTTCTGTAACAACAGACCTCAAATTTATATGCACCTGCTTCAGCGTCCACGCTTCCATACCATACAAAAGGACGGAAAACACATAACACCTGAGCATTCTTAGCCGCAGAGTCAAACTTAGGTCTCTGTTGGTGAAGAACTTTTTAAGCCTGACAAACGCCGTTCGTGCTGCTTCAATTCGGGCTTTTATTTCCTTGGTGTGGTCAATGCCCGAGGTCATCCACGTTCCCAATTATTTGTGTGAGTCCACTCTTTCGATGATGGTGTTGTTTATAACTAAGTGGCAGTTTATGAGTGGTGATTTAGTGGCGACCATAATTTTTGTTTTGTTAAGGTTGATCTTTAACCCGTATTTGTTGCATTTTGATGTTATCTGTTGTGATCACTGTGTCATCGGCGAATCGAAAGTTGTTGAGAACTTCGCCGTTCATCTTTATCCCCTCTGAGCGATCATCCAACGCTTCCAGGAATATGGCCTCACTATAGACATTAAAGGAGCAATGGCGTCCTTCATCTAGATAAATTTAAAAACATCATGGGAGCGTATTCAGAAGAGCAACTAACAATACCGCGAACATGATGGGAGCTTATATTTGGGGTTTATCGAGAGAAAGTATTTATGAACTTATTTTCCACTTTTTTCGAAATAAAAGTAAGAAACGTATTTATATGGATGGTTTTATTTTTTATTAAAAATGTAGAACTATAAATTTTGAAAAATATCGTTCAATCGATCTCCTAAATACACCCTCTCGGCAAGAGTTTCCCCGCAAAAGTTAATCAAAAACCAAATAAAACATAGATAAGTATATTTATTATTAAATTACACTGGCGATTGTTACGCGGTTAGTCGGTCTTGCGGTCTTAAAATACGTCATGGCACATAAAAAATGTTGCTCCTCTTTGGTTACAAAAATCACGTCATAAATCATCCTTGAATCTCTCAACAAAAACCTCGGGTATTACCACCGAATCTTCGGTATCGCTCACGTATCCCTTTTCGCCGGTGTAATGAGTCGGGTAAAGCAATAACGGAGCCGTGGAGAAAGCCACGAGATTTCGATCGGGAAAGTGACGCTTCCAGCTCTCTTGGGGATGCTTGTCGAACATAATCGGCAGGTATTCGTCGACGGGAACCTGTAATCAAATTAACCTTCGTAAAATTCGTTCAGCGTCAGACGTAATTAGCGTTATTCGCCATAAGTTTCGTCCCAAACCATCTAAGAAAGTGTCGGTTTTACGACCGAACAAGTTAATCTACTTGGAAAGTAAAAAAAAGGAAGAGTTCGTTTTGGTACGGAGTTAAAACCAATGTAACTATGCGTGACCTGGGCCTTCGATTCTGTGCAAATTGATGTTTTATAACAAAAATTTGTAACATCGAGCTCTCCTTGTTCATGTTATATCTTACTAATTGAATGGTTAAAATATCATCATTTGAAGATTGCCCACAACTTTTTCATTTATGAAAATTTTGGATTCGGATAAAAAAAACATTATGGGGACATTTCTTAAAGATTTTTTTTAAAGGATTATTTTCCTCCAGTTCTGAATACAATTTTATTCTTTTATACGTCAACCATATTTGGCTATGGTCTTAAAGAAATCCCGTGCCCTATACATTTGTCGGTATATGTGATGAAAAAAGGCGGAAAAATGTCAGTTAAGGACAGAACTTTGTGTCTGTGACATATTATTTTAGTGATCAAACGTAAGCTTATTATGAAATTATGAAATCTGTGACGTGATCAACAAAAAAATCAGAACTTCGTTTCAATACATATCCAAGGAGGTATCAGACAGGAAAATGTTTCTGCTGTTAAAAAATAATTTGAACAATTATGCAAGTTTCAAAAGATCAAGGCAAAATCAAAATCACCTTAATGAAGTACAGGAAATCTGGGAAGTATTGGAAAAGCATATTCTTACGGGAACTAGCTGGAGCACCTGTAGAACTGTAGAAAAATTCTGAGTAAGCCACTGTAGTTAATGATAATGATGATGATGGTAATGTTTATTTCCATTGACTTTTACCAAATATATCGGATAATGTCAATAAGCAAACAAAATAGAACACTAAAATACAAAAAAAAAACTTTAAAAACAGATACGCACAAACACACAAAGTATATCACCCAGAGAGATCGGCATTGCTACAATAAAACAACAAATAAAAAACATTCTGTAATCTCCATCAATTCTGGTCATGCAATAATTAGATATATTACTGTTTATGTATATTATGCTATTTAATATGAAGAGAGAGGAAAACGTTAAAATATTTAATTTTGGGAACAGGGTTCTACAAGAGTGACCACGAGACTTCCCCAAAATTGTTCGAAGAATACATTTTTGTTGAAGAAAAAATTCACTAGCTCTGAAGGAGTTTCCCCAGCATATAATAGTGAAGATCCACTCGACCGCAGTCGCCAAATAACAAAAGTATGCATAGCCATTTTGTTATTACTGTCTATGAACAAACCCAAATACTTGACAACGTTAGTCTGATTAATCGGTCTTTGTCCCGTTCAAACAAATACCGTTATGCTCACCCTAGTGGCCAAGGGCGTGACATTTTCCAGACTCCTAGATGACATTGCCACAGCAGTATCATCTGCATATAAGGAAACATAATTGTCTGAGAAAGAATCAGATATATAATTAATAAATATTATAAATAATGAAGGTCCCAGTACGCTTCCCTGTGGGACACCGCTGGTGAGTTCTTTAGATGAGGATCTAATCACGGAAGTATCACTTCTAGGCACAACTCTTTGGTAACGACCCTTCAAAAACGACTGAATTCAGGCGTAACTATTCCCCCATATACCGCAATTATTTAACTTATTCAACAACAAATTAATATCAAGTACATCAAAAGCTCGTATTCTGATCCAGGTTCGGGACTATTCGATTATATAAACTAAACAGTGTTGAGTAGACAATCCATTGCGAAAACCAAACTGAGAATTCGAGAGAAATTGCTCCTTGTTTAGAAATGCATCGAGCCGCACGTAAAAAAACGTTTCGAATATTCTGGAAAAAACAGATAGAAATTAAACTGTAACTATAAAATCTGTAACACGTTTTCTTAATGAACAGGGTACTTCATCGTACCCAGCTGCATCTTTTTTTGTAACTGGCGAAATAATGCATCAAAGGTCAACACCCGTGAAAGGTGCTAAGAATAGACTTTGAATTGAAGATTTTTTATTAGTTGTTTGTGTTGTTTTTGTATTGTTTATTAGATCTCCAACGGAATCCACAAAAAAGTCGTTAAATTTTTCAGGTAGCGAGTATGTGGATTTACACGTCATCTGGAAACTTTTATGTTTAGATAGGTTACTTTCTTTTTTTATAATCGTCCACGCCGTTTGAGATTTGTTAACAGAAGTTTATTGTAAAAACTTTTGTTAGCATTCTTAAGTCGTTTTTCATGGTACTTTTTTATAATTCTATATTTAATTAAAATTTCATCACTGTTGGTATATTTAAAATATTGGTGCAAGTCTCCCCAACTGACCCCGTTCCCTAATTTCAACGGAAAGCCACCCTTTTTTGGCTCTGTTGGCCCTGTGTGATATGGAAAAGACGAGCCAAACAATTCCTGAAATTTTTTATAGAATAAGTCAAATTTCTCTTCAGCTGTACCCACACCGTCAAACAAAAACTGCCTAGATACTTCAACCTGAAATTCATTTATGTTACTTTTAAATTTAAAACAACGTTTAGATAGTATAGAAAGTATAGATAGCATTTGTATAAAATTATCAGAAAAATCACAGGGAATAATATCTGACTGAAAGAAAGTCAAATCAATATTGGTAAAAATATTGTCGATTATAGACAGAGTCCCATTATGGATTCGAGTTTATTCGGTGAACCCGTGCAATATAAAGAGTCTCGCCTGAATTTGCGTTTTCGAAGTGCGCATTAAAAATCACCGCAAATAAAAGCAACAGTAGAACTTGCGATCGATCTCATCCAAACTCAATCAATCAATAAAAGTATCGACGCTTCCGGAAGGAGAACGATACAAGCAAAATATTAAAAAAACGGTTTTCAGTAGTTGATATAAAAAACAAATATTTTTATCCGAATCCAAAATTTTTAGAAATAAAAAAATTATGAAAAAAAATTGAAAAACATCCTATATAATGGTCGGCAGTCACATACCGCAATTACATCGTAATTATATTACATTAAATGTCTTTCAAAAATCGAACTCTCGACATGAAAGTCGATTTTGCTCTATCTAGTTCAGAAATGGGTTTTTCCTGTTTAAACAGTCCAGTTACTTACACCATGTACCGCGCGTTCAATTTTCTTAACATGGAATATGCCGGGGAACGGCGGAACTACGGGTTGGCCAGCCAACAGCCCCGACTTAACGTTAATCGATTTTTTCTTTTGGCGACATATAAAAAATCAAGTGCACAAAACCACTTGCAACAATGTCGTGGAACTTCGGCAAAGGATTTCAGAAGCAATCAATCAGTTAATCGAAAATTGGTAGCGTTTTATTTTATACGTCACTTGGCAAAAACCTTGGCTACTAACCCCACATTTTGTTTTTTTTTGTTTACCTTGATATCTCTAAAGAGAAAAAAGTTACAGCCAATTAAAATGTCATCAAGATAAATTGAACGCACGGTAGAGGGTGGTTCCAAATTCGACGCTCACGTTAAATATCAATGAGCTGCAATCAAAATATATTTTTTTTACCTTCTCTCCTAAAAATCTAGTTCAGAGCCGTGTTATGATTAAATCAATACAAAACATTGACGAAACAATTTATTTAAATTGAAAAAATGTCAGGTCCGTATTTAAATAAAATAAGTTGATGACGTTCGCCAGAAGCCAAAACGTGAGATTCAATATTTAATAATACTAAGTTACAGAGCAGAAGAGAACAATTGAAACCAAAAAGTTTTTTTCGAATTTTTAAGGAAGTATTCGGAATCAAAAATCAATCAAAAACTGACCGTTTCAGTGTTTAATGCCATAAACCAGATCGGCCGGTAAATCATAATAAATTAATTGGGTGAAAATGGTGGCTTTGAACGACTTGATACTTCCAAAGCGATTTTTGCATAATGGGCCCGGTTCGCTATGCACCTCTGATAATTGCGTCCTAATGAAGGCCTTTGATAAAGCCGTTCACTGTTTACGCATCGTTAGTTCATTTCCCCATTTTCCGATGGATTATTGATCCGAAAAGAGCGCGACGAGTGACGACGACACTTTGAATGTTTAATTGACTCACGTGGACTGGTTTCCTAAAGAATTGGGCAAACTATATATTTGAATACATCATGGGAAAACTATAATTACATTCATGTCCCTGTCCGATCGAAGAAGTCAACCAGTGATTTGATCACGGTTAAACTCACGATATAAATGAAACTTCCATTTTTTTAAATCTTTTTTTTATTGAAATCAAGATATGTTATTATATTATCAGAAATAAAAACTAAATCACAACTCTTTAAAACCAAGAGTGATGAATAAAATTTTGCTGATCAGTTTATTCATCTTCGTCGTAAGGCTCTGTCGTGTTCTCCGAACCTAGTTGATATTTTTGGAAGGCTGTAAACTGTAAAATGGAATTTTATCTTTGACGGACCGAAGATGTTGAGAGACTTTGGGACAAGTAGCAAATATGGTTATACATACTTCTTTAGAGCTTTTGATATGTGGTCAGTGATGTTTTGAATGACCACAGTGGCAAGTGTGGGATTGCTTTCCGCCTCATTGCTATTGGAAGGTTGTGGTGAAGTTTACTTTTTGATCGAACGCTTAATATCTTTGATGTGGAAATTATTAGAGAGAATAGCAGAGGTAAGATGTTTTAATTCTGCGAATGTGAGGTCTGATTTTCTATTGAGAAGAATTTCTAAGAGTGAAAAATCCGAGAGTCTATAGAAATCTATAAACAACCTAACAATCTTAACCGTGACCCGAGCCAGTTTCAGTCAAGTTCTGAAGAAGCCGACAAAAGCCGACGCAGGAGGAATCCAGAAGTTTTGTAAAAAGGAACTGTTTTATTATTGGTAGCTGGCTCATCCTTTTGCGATGTCCACCACTGTATTTTTTATTATTTCACCCGAAAACATATTTTTTTCAAATACGCAATTGCGGGCATTCGACTTTATTACTAATAGCAAAAGTCCAGTGTTTCAATATAAATTATTGACTGCTTCTAAAGCCACATTCTTTTCTTCGGGTGTTGTAAGAAAGCTACGATTAAGATGACAACAAGAACTGCAAAACATGAATTCTGAGAAATGCACGCTTCTCTCTCTCTTGCTTTGTGGATTATTGCGGGAGTTGCGTATGAAAACAGTTTTCCAATGAACTATATTTTGTCTATTCAATAACAGCAAGTTCGAGATCCGATTTTCGAAGCACATAAGTCCTATAAAGTTTGTGACTTGCGTTATACGGAAAATGATAAAGTAGCGGACACTAAGACAGGCTTAGGGAAAACGGCTTTTCCAACTTTGCTATTACCGTATTTAGGAGAATCTACCTCGGAAATTATTTGGAAAAAATTGCAAAAATTATAGGCAAGCGATAGTTTTTAATCTATGTTTATGCGAAAGTGCAACTTGTGTCAAATACAAAAGTTTTCAGAAAAGTAACAAGCTATTTGCACGATATAATTATTTATATTCAGGGTGTTGCACTCATAGATATTTATTGGGTTGTTCGGAAAGTCATTTCGTTTTTTTTGGGGAACATGAAAGACAGTTTTCGTATAATGAGTAAATATTTTATTAAATTATATATTGGCCATTCTGGTCCAACACCTTTTGTCATCTTTCTGGCAGTAACATAATTCCCCTCTCATAAAAGTTTCGGTCCTTGCTGGCAAAAAACTGGTTCAGGTGGTTTTTGACATCTTCATTTGAGGTAAAGGTTTTGCCATCCAAAAAATTTTGCAGGGACCGGAACAAATAGTAGTCGGAAGGCGCCAGATCTGGAGAATATGGTGGATGTTGCAGTACGTCCCATTCAAGCTGTAAAAGTTTTTGGCGAGTGACCAAACTTGTGTGAGGTCTCGCATTATCCTGGTGGAACACTACACCCTTCCTGTTGATTAATTCGGGCCTCTTCTCTTTAAGTGAATCATTCAATTTGTCCAGTTGATGACAATAGACTTCTGAATTAATCGTTGTATTGTCCGGCAAAAGCTCAAAAAAAACGATTCCTTTGACATCCCACCAAAAGGAGAGCATCACCTTTTTTTGGTGAATGTTGGCTTTTGACACGCTTTGAGCCGGTTCATCTTTTCTGCTCCATGACCTCTGGCGTTTAACATTGTTGTATACAACCCATTTTTCGTCCCCAGTAATAATCCGCTTCAAAAATGGATCATTTTCTTGACGTTTGAGGAGCGAATCACACACGTCAACGCGACGACACAAATTTCGCTCCGTAAGGACATGGGGCACCCACACATCGAGCTTCGAGGTTAAGACCATGCCTTTCAAATGGCCATAAACAGTCGAATTCGACAAATTTAATCTCTCACCGATCTCTTGTGTGATTATTCGCCGATTTGCGTCAACTAATGCCTTTATCGCATCTTTGTCAGCTTCGACCGGCCTTCCAGACCGTGGTGCATCTTCGACATCAAAATTGCCGGATCGAAATTTTGCGAACCAGTTCTGGCACTGGCGTACTGTTAACACGCCTTCTCCATACACATCCGTCAATTTTTTTCTCGCTTGGACAGCATTTTTACCTTTTCTGAAGTAAAAAAGTAAAATATGACGAAAATGCTGCTTATTGCCCTCCATATTTAAAAGGGCACCAACCAAAAACTACTGGGTAGAATTAATAGAACTTTTTCAAACACAAGCCTTGCAATATCAGCTCTCAAGACATATAATGGTTATGCGGCTTAAGTGTGAAGTTGGTTTCTAAAAAACGTAATTAAGTCCTCTGACGGGAAAAAACGAAATGACTTTCCGAACAACCTTATATTATTTAAATGAGTGTATTATACGTGTAGTAAAATTCCCTACAAATTCTGCATATTTCATGTATAATACATCCTACACCCAAATAAACTAGTTTTTGAGATATACGCGCTTTTAGCATAAAAGCAACATTCAAAAAGAAAATAGTATTCTACAATTTATAATTTATATCTGAGGTGGCTGTGAAGTAGGTCGTCACTAAAAAACAAAATGTTTATAACTGACAGTGACAGTTACCAGTAACAGATTTAGCAAAACTTCCGTTCCTTTTATTATAAAATGCCTTATTCTGAAAGAGATTTGATGAAAGGTTTGAGGGGTAATTCCCTTTGAGCTAATTCATTGTTTTTGTCTTTGCGAATAAAGCATTTTATATATGATAACAGTTACTAAATCTGTAAGTGTTACTGGCCGTTATAAAAAAGCATTTGTTTTTTGATGTCAACGTACTTCACAGAAACCTAAGACGTAAATTATAAATTCTAAAATATTTTATTTTCGAAGTATTTAAGTTTCATGATATAAAGCATAGTTATACAAGATATAAGACAAACTAGACTTGCGAAAAAGCTAACCCAATGGAAATTTATTTCCACTCTTTCAGATTATATATTATTCAAAATTAATTTTTTTTTAATGGCTATAATTAATTAGAGAACAAAGTTACTTGTTGTAGAACTACCTTCCAGCAATTATCCGGATAGACTTGTTGATTAAAAAAATGAAAAATAGGAAATGTAATTAATATGTACCATTTTTAATTTGTTCAGTATCTCAAGAATACCGTTTAACAAAAACTTTTTTCTACTCCGGCCTGTAAAATACCTAATTACCCACCGATCTAGCGTGCGGGAAGCGTCACTTTACCACGTCAGTTTCGTTCCCCATGAATCCGAGTTCTTGTATGATATTTTTCAAATTATCAATGAAAATCTCGATTTACAAAGGACTAAGTGGGTTTCCCATAATGAAACCTTCCTTAAAGATGTAAATCTGTCCATTAAATTCAAAATAATTTTGGTCTAAAGATACTATTAAGCAATCTAATAAATCTTTTTCCGGGATTTTACCGCACGGGTTTGGGAGCAATCGGATGTTTTGAATTAATTCAAAAGAATTTTTTATTGCAGATTTTGGCTTAAAATCTGTGTGGAACTTTAAAATATTTACTAGAGAGTGGTCTAATGGGCATATCTTGTTTATGTAATTTAACTAAAGAATATAATTTCGACGGTTGTGGATTCATAATTGTTAATAAATACTTGTCCTTGTCACTAAATACTGTGGAGTTAGTAATTACTTCCTTGACTTGTCTTTGATATAACTTTGATATATAGGAAAATTTCCGGTTTAAGAAAATGGTTGGTTTTTGAAATATACTCTGGGAGATCAATAGCCTTCCATTCATCTGCCACCTCAGCTCAACATACTAAATACTAAAAACCACGCCACTGTGTCTTCTACGTACCAGTTTCGAAAGAGGATCGGCATCCAAAAGTTTTTTGGCCCCTCGCAAACTCAACGCGTAGCCGAGGGTCCAATAAGAGTAACCAACTTCAACGAGATAATTTGATCCGGGGTGCCAAGGCTCGTGTTGGTCTTGTAACCGCTTTCTGCCGAAATACCTGCGAACAAAAGCAAAACCTTAAACTCTCCCTCGACACAGTTTACAATACTGTTCCTATCAAATCATCACATCTTTAAAAGTTGTTCATTTCTCGCCAATAATTCACCCACAAAAGCGGAAATGTCTAGGAACTATTAGAATTTTTCGCCCACAAACGGCACACCCTGTATATAATTCCAACAATGTCAGTTTCCTGGTATCCGAAAAGCTTTCAAAAAACTACTTTTTTTCTGAAACGTGGTGATAGTAAATGACGATTTTTGATTTGCGGCTAATAATTTACTCTATAAAAGAACAATTTCGTCTTTTAGATTTTTGCATATAATTTGAAAACCCTGTATATAATCGAAAAAATGCCGGAAATAAATGTTATTGCACTGGACCTTCCGCGTCTGCTGGTTAAATAATTTTACCGATATTTTTCTAGAACCTAAAATTACCAAAAAATAAAATTTCAAATTTTTTTAAAAATTACTTGCTAAAATTTGACTGCACCCAATTTCTACCGTTCAAATGTGGACATGGACTTTTACTTTTCTGGTAAAATTTGAAGTTGATATCTGCAAATTTAGGGCACTTAACATATTTCCCATTTAGCACCGAATATCGGGAACACCCTGTATAATAGGTGAAAACCTTAAATACAAAAGTTTTTGCTGTCTATACGGGCTATATCGCAATATAAAAGAAAGTGATATCTGATTCACAGTCTTTCAGTTATAACCAAGTTTCAGTAATAGCGGCACCCATTTTTCAGTTTTTTTGAATTTCCGGCACACCCTGTATATTTTTGAAAAATGGTCAAGAATAAAAGTTTATGGAGCCCTATCTTCGGCGTCTTCTCGTTCGAATTTTTTTGGTTTCCTAAACAGTTTGTGAAAAATGTAGACCCTTGGACACGCGATTTTCATGGTTAGTTATTATCGTGGCTATCCGAATCTTGTTAACAGCTGCTCTGCTCTTAAGTATTTGAGATAAGAGGTTCTTCCTCTCCCTTAACTCCTTCTGCAACGGAAAATTTTCCAATTTTCTTCTTTTTAGAGAGATAATTATTCCCTCCTGGGTTCTCTGTATCAGTTCCAGAATGGGAACCCTGTCGATTCATGAGATAACACCATCTTTCAAAAATCCCGATCTTGTCCATATCTGCCTTTTTCAGTATCCATGATTCTAACTCGTAATGTAATGTTGAAAAAACGTAGCATCGGGGCATTGCTGCTGCAAAGAAATCAATGGTGATCTTTACCAATGCACTTTTGGCTACCTCTATGCGACTATGGATTTCGTGAGACTAATTGGCGTAGTCATGTTCCCTAAGTATTTGTATTTTCTTACTCATTCTATCGTTGTGCTGTCTATAGTAAGAATTCTATATCTGCCTCTGCAGCAAGGTTGCAAAATCTGTCCGTTTATGGTAACACCCTCCTGTCGTGAAAATTGCCTACGTGAGAGAGTAGCGGGGAAAGAATGCAGCCCTGTCGCACGCTTCGCAGAATCTCCACTTCATCTGTAAGCTGACGTTTGACTTATTAATGTTCATGTTCTGTGATATTTCTTGGTGTTGACATCTTGCGCTAACGCCTTTATGCCGAACAGTCCCTGTCCAGAGCCTAATTTCGCGAATATTCTATTATGAATAATCTTTAATTTTAAAAGCTCCGTAGATTCCCACTGCCACAAGGAATTTCAATTTCCAAAACCTCAAAAAACTGTAAATGTGTGGTTGGGTCCTCATTTCTTCGACGTTACCTTAAACGGTACTCTAAATTGTCTTCAAAACCAATTAGAACACTGTATGGAACTCATTGGAACCAGTAAGGAACCTTCTAATATTCCTTCCATCCTTACCATTCTAGCATGCCTTTATCAATGTTTCTAAAATCAATAGTTGAAAAAAACAACAAAAAAACTTTATTCATTATTGCCCAGTTTGGTTTTTGTAAACAAACAAACGAAATGCACGGATACGAAGCAGAAATACTACGAAAATACCTCAAAACTTTGCCACTAAACAAAAGTTTGCCCGCATACCTGACTTGTAGAATCAATTATCATAAAATTATGCTTCGTATTTCGGAGTTCTCGTACAATCTGGTTTAGATCCTGCGAGACGCATGGGCGGCTCTTTATTATGGGATCACACCTGATCTCGGTAAAAATATTACCAAAATTTAAAGACAAAAGTTGTTTCCCATTTATAATTTTCGTGGACATCTTATAAATTATTCCCGGTAATAATTGAAACGAAAGTTATTTAAATAAATTACGTTTTTTAACTTTTAATTTTGACGTTCGCGGAAATTAAAAAAAAAACCGCGAAGAAAGAGAAACGAATAAAAGAGAAATTTAAAGATTTTTGGACAGTTAAATTTTTTTCCTGAGTGCTGAAAATAATAATAATTATTAGACATGTTGTATAGACATGAAATTGTTTTAGTCAATTAAAATGGCAATCGCAATAAAAAATTACTAAATTAGGATTTTTAGATAGGCCAAAAGCCTTGTCGCTTTCGAAACATCGAGTAAATGAATTTTGAGTTTGAGCGACGAAATCGAAATTTACTTTCTTAAGATGGGATAATTTGGTTTGAACAGAGAGTTTCAGTTTTCGTCATACGGACAGGGTGCGCGAGATATTTGAAAAAGCCGCTTTATACAGGGTGCATGCGCAATAAAATTACTTTGTAGACTTCGTAGCAATCTTGTTAAACGAGTAATAGAAAAATTTTAAGAAATTAGAGACTTTGGGACTTGGCAATAGTCAGTAAAACCATTTCATTTTTATACGTTTTGATCTAAATGCTGCAAATAATAACCTACGTTTTTAACTCGCTTTATTTAGTACCACTAATTTGCCAATTATTTCCTTTCAAAGCCTAGCCGTTTTGTATTAATATAACAATAACAACAAAAAATGACTACATTAGGTGGCATACAGCTTTCAAAAATGTAACTCAAACTTACAGAAAATCACTAATAGCGAAGTTTGTCAGTTAGAAAACACCCTGTATATACTTGGAGGCTACCAAGTAACGTTATTTTTAATATTTTGAATGTAGCCAAAAAGTAATGGTAATAGAAAAAGTACACTATATGCAACTGCACTCCGCTGACAAACTGCTTTTCATAAGGAGGCCGTAATTCTAAGGAGATGAAATGTTTCGCTAAATTTATTTAAAAAGTATATACATTTTTATAAGTTTCATTCATAAACTTTGAATTATTTTAATCAAAAATTAATTAAAATAATTATTATAAATTATGTTTTCACTTTCATTGTAGTTCGATTAAATAAAATATACTGTTAATTTATTTATTTATTTTTTTGCAATCAGAAGTTTCATTTCTGAGCTAGAATCTTATTTTCGTAATATTAATTTAAATAATTATTTTTTACTTTATATTTCATAGTTTATTTGAAAAAAAAAGTGGCTTCTAAATAATAAATCATATAAATTATAATACATTTTATACGTTTCATTCATAAAGTTTGAATTATTTTAATCAAAAATTAATTAAAATAAAAATATCACGGTGCATTACTTTAGTATTATGTTTACACTTTCATTGTAATTCGATTAAATAAAATATACTCTTAATTAATTTATTTTTTTTTGCAATCAGACGTTTCATTTCTGAGCTAGAATCTAATTTTCGTAATAGGAATTTAAATAATTATCTTTTTACTTTATATTTCATAGTTTATTTGAAAAAAAGTAGCTTCTAAATAATAAATCATATAAAGAAAGTTGGAAAAGTGCTTTTCTCTAATTGAACCGACCTCTTATAGTTAATCCTATAATCTTGGACATGCTGTATAGCATATAAATTGTGGGAGGTGCAATTTAGTTTTTCTAATTTCATCCAAGACGGTGTTTATGCCCCTCATTTAGCTCAACCCTCCTCAAACAATATATACGCAGGCGCAGAGTAAAATGCGAGCCAGTTTCAGTAAAGCTCTGAAGAAACCAACAGGATGATTGGCGAAACGTCAGCAAGTTCGACTCAGCAAAAACCTACGCAGGGGGAATCCAGAAGTTTTTTAAAAAGTATTACATTAGCCTGTGAAAGTTTCTTTGAAAAAAAAATTATAAAATGAAAAACAATGATATTGAATTTATACAATAATTTCATAATTATCATACGATTTATGCTGTTTTATTTAAAAACGCTCGCTACAACTGGAATTCTTCCACGAGGTTTAATTAAAATGCGACCATAGCGGGGCCGCGAGAAATTTATATAACGAAACGTTATTAACTTTAATATATTCCGTCGAAAAAGCGTGTCCATTTTGGCGCGTCCGTCGTCAAAAAGGCGCTAATTACGAAACTTCGGGAAGGTAACATTTCCAACTTTCAAGTTCAAATATTTACTTGGTAATTTTGACACGCTATAGGAATTTTAACGAAACCCATACCTGCGGCGACCTTTCCTAAAAAGGACTATTACTTTCGGTTGGTTTAATTAAATCAAATGCAGTTCACGTCGAAAGCGCTAAGATAGGCTTGCATTTTTAATAATTTTTTATAATTTCATTTATTTAAAACCTTTAAAACCTTAACTTTAACTCTCATTTACTATCTGTTTTAGATAAAAAATGTTAAATACAAAAGTTATAGGCAAGACTAAAAGCAACAATATAAAAATAGTTTCCAATTTACGGGGTGATTCATACACATAATGGAACACATAGATACTCCCATTTATACTCAATCACTCATTGTAGAGTTGTTACGGTGTACGAGGGGCTACCCAAAAAAAACCGGAATCATTGTTTATGAACTATATATTGTTTTGAAAATCACAGAACGACCTTATCCCCTTCAAAACAATACAACTAACACATTTGTCCCAGCGGTGCTTCCACTGTTCGAAACATTTTTTATATTCATCTTTGACTATAGCCGACAGCTTATCCCTCGTTTTTTTCTTGGCCTCTTCAATGCTGTCAAATCGCTGTCCTTTCATGTCCCTTTTCATACGTGGAAAAAGAAG